AGCATAAGCTAGTTGTTAGAGTGCTTATTATGCTCCAGACATTGACCTAAACACTTTACATGTATTGCCTTACTTAAATATTGCACTAATATTAAAATGGGTACTATTTATTATTCCAATATTCAGATAAACTAGAAAGATGGAAATTTTCAAATTCATTTTAAAAACTAGCATAAGCTTGAAACCAACCTCATCAGAAGTACACATTTAAACAAAATGTTGACAAATCAAATTTAGTTATATTTGAGGAATCATTAAAATCATAAAGTATATAATACTAGGATTAATATAAAACCAAATTCATGGGTTTAGTAAAAACACTGTAACTGATGTTAGGACAGCATCTAATTTAAGTTGAACAGATATTCCTAATGTAAATCCTTAAAATATTATAAATAAGAGCCAATATTATACTTAACATTTCCATTAAAATAATAATATGAAAACCTACTTTATTACTAGTTGTACTGGAAATGCTAATCAGTGTACTAAGAAGAAATAAATTTGGAAAATAATTATTTAAAGGTGATACATCCTTAGTAAGTAAAAACTAACCATGAAGAAAGCTATTAGCTCTAATAGTTTCTTAGTAAGGGGCCCAAATATAAAATAAAACATAAAATAAATAGATTTCCTATAGCAATTAACATGACATGTTACTGGCATATCTTTAAAAAAATAGACTAATGGAGTAGACTAGAGTCCAGAAGCAAACACACACACTTTAATTTTAATATAATGATTAGCCAACTCATATAACTCAAGACCAAGAGAACAATCCAATTAAGAAATGGGCAAAAGACCTGAATAGACACTTCTCCAAAGAGGACATATGGATGGCCAACACACAGATGCTCAACACCACTAACCATCAGAAAAAAACCAAAACCACAATGAGATATCACCCCATACATGTCAGAATGGCTATCATCAATAAATCAACAAACAACTAGTGTTGGTGAGATGTGGAGAAAAGGAAACCCTCATGCACTGTTGATGGGAATGAAGGTTGGTGCAGCCGCTGTGGGTAACAGTATGGAATTTCCTCAAAAAATAAAAACTGTGCCCAGCCATCATGGCTCAGCGGTTGAGCGTCGACCTATGATCCAGGAGATCAAGGTTCGAGTCCCAGTCAGGGCACATGCCCAGGTTGCGGGGCACATGCCCAGGTTGCGGGCTAGATCCCCAGTCAGGGGTGTGCAGGAGACAGCCGATCAATGACTCTCTCATCATTGATGTTTCTCTCTCTCTCTCCCCACCTCTCCCTTCCTCTTTCTGAAAGCAATTAAAAAAAAAAAGTAACTGCTTTATGACTCAGCAATTCTACTTCTGGGAATATATCCAAAGAAACCCAAAATACTGATTTGAAAGAATACACGCACCCTTATGTTCTCATTGCAGCATTATTTACAAAGGCCAATATTTGGAAGTAGCCCACGTGCCCATCAGTAGATGAGTGGATAAAAAAGCTGTAGTACAATTACACAATGGCCTATTACTCAGCTGTAAAAAGGAAAAATCTTACCTTCTGCAGCAGCATGAATGGATCCTGGAGAGTCTTATGCTAAGTGAAATAAGCCAGTCAGAATCTAATGAACAAAATACACTAACAAAACAGAAACGGACTCATAGATACAGATAAGACTGATAGCTGTCAGAGGAGAGGGAGGTGGGGGCGGGGGTGAGTGGAAAAAGGTGAAGAGATATTAAGTTAAAAAACACACACACCACATAGAACAACAGTATGATGATTACAGGGGACAGGGGGGATATTTGGTGGCAGAAAGAGACTTGACTTTGGGTGGTGAGCGCAGAATGCAGTATGCAGATGATGTGTTGTAGACTTGAAACCTGTATGGTTTTATTAACCAATGTCACTCCAATATAAACTGGAACTCTCCTTACCCTGTTGATAGTATGATTTGGCACAGCCACTCTGGGAAACTGAAAAATCTGAATAAGGCTGGATATATACAACCCTAGGATCCAGCAGCTCCTCTCTTAAGTACATATCCAACTGAAAAGTGTAATACTTTCACCAAAAAATATGTACACAAATATTCAGAGAGGTTCTATTCATAATAGCCCCAAAGTGGAAATAATAGAAATATTCAACTATAAAATGGATTAAGCGCCCTGCCGGGCATGGCTCAGCAGTTGGGCATCGACCTAGGATCCAGGCGGTCGGGGTTTGATTCCCGGTCCAGGGCACATGCCCGGGTTGCGGGCTCGATCCCCAGCTGGGGGTGTGCAGGAGGCAGCCGATCAATGACTCTCTCTCACCATTGATGTTTCTCTCTCTCCTTCTCCCTTCCTCTCTCTGAAATCAATAAAGATATATTTTAAAAAAATGGATTAAGCATGGTATAAGATAATGTGGATAAAGAGTGAAAAAGTACACAGCACTTAGGCTAAGATTGAATTATATACAACAGCACTTAGGCTAAGATTGAATTATATACATGAGTAGATATTACAATGTTGAGCAAAAGTAGTTATGAAAGACTGACTATATAATGCAGAAATCCATTATACAAGGTTAAAAAAAAGTTGAAACTATGGCACTTAGAAGTCAGCATAACAATTACCCTTGAGGCTAGTTACAAGGTAGTATGAGGGGATTCCATAGTGTTTAAATGGATGTATATACTTTTAGAAAATTCATTGAACTGTTTGAACTTAATTGTTTCTGCACTTGTTCTACGCTATGCTTCCATAAAAATTTTACATTAAAAAAGCAACAACCAGTTTAAACAATGTAATGAAGAATTCCCTAAAAATAGCAACAAATAAAATACCCAGTTTAGCAAGGCATTTATGAGGATAGGGATAACTACAAAACTATTATACATACCATATTACCATTTTCTTTTAGCTCCCGGTAACTTATAGGGTTAATGTACTTCGAATGAATATTCCAACAGAATTTAAACTTGAAATAATACAAGTGATTCTGAAGTTAATCAGGAAGCATAAACGGGGCAAGTACTTAAAAAAATAAGAAGTCATAATGAACACAAAGCTGTAATGATTTAATCAGTGCCACAAAATACCCTATACAACATAGTATATAGTGTATTCATATAAATTTAATACAGGTCCAAAATTTGATTTTGTACCATTATGGTTAGATGGGTTTCGTAATTCAGATACTTAGGATTTAAAAAAAGTAACACCATGTCTATACCATATACTCCCACTTGAATCTAAAATAGCACACTGATTAAGCACATTACTACTTTCCCAGCAAAATATGAATGGTTATACCATATGAGATAAGCACTCATAAAGTCTCATGTGAAATCTGGTCAGGTTTTGCCACGAAATGGGTTTTGATGCTAAATTTAGGGGGAAAATATTGGTTAGACCTTTGGATTTTAGAATTGTGAAGAAAAGATTATGCATCAGTATAAAATGAGAGGCATTGTAAGTAAATGTGTGGGGGAAGAGAAAATTTATTTTAACCAATCATATGGAGTTAAGTGGTTAAATATTTAGAAAAAAATGTACGTTCTTACTTCATACCAGGTACCAAAACAAATTATATATGGATTATGAGCTAACTAATAATTTTAACAAATCAATAAATAACAGCCTAGAGCCCGACCAGTGTGGCTCAGTGGTTGAGCATCAACCAATGCACCAAGAGGTTGCTGATTTGATTCTCGGTTAGGGCACATACCTTGTCTTCGGGCTCAATCCCCCGTGGGGACCCTGCAGCCAATTGATGTTTCTCTCTCTCCCCCCTTCCTCTCTCTCTAAAAATCAATAAAAACATATTTGAAAAAGAAAAGAAGTAACAACCTAGAAACCAGTGATGATATAGCTGAATATATTTCTGGTAAGGGATAAGCATGCTGTGGAAGAAATGACAATTTGCTGGCAGGAATGTAAATTAATTTTCTGGGACAGTTTGGCAAAATGTATTGAGATCCTATAAAGTGCACTCATTTTTTATTTGGTAATTCCACTGTCTAAAATGTCTCCTACGGAAACAACTGATAGCCTAAACAAATATTTATTTACAAATATGTTCACTTTTTAATAGATAATAGCTGAAAGCTGGAAAATGCTTCATATTACTTGAGGTAAAAAAAAGCATTAGCAAGTTATATTTATGGTTTAAGTTCAACTATGTAGAAGAAATAATTTAGGAAAAAAGACTAGTAAAGTATGTCAAAATGTTAACCAACATTTATAAAAAGGAAGTCTATTCAAAGAAGAAGCATAATAATAAAGTAAAAACTTGATATATAATTTCAAGAAGTTGGGCCTGAGGCTGAAAGATGGCAGCTTGAGAAATGTATCAATGAAGAATATACAGTAAGGTGCCCTTGAAATTACTCCTCTCAAAGCTTAAATATAGGTTTCCCTAATAGTCCTAACTAGCCTTTGGTTGAATGCTAATGGATGCTTTTCTCATGTACAATTTCAATATACTCAAGGGTTCTAACAATATCCAGGGCTACAATAATCAAATATGTTAATTGTAAGACTTTTCAGATTTGGCATACACTGATATCAACCACTAAGTAATGTCCAAAATTAAGAGTGTATCCTTACATGTAGTTGTAAAAGTAGCTACAAGTTTTTTATTGTGTATTTTAACCCTAAAATGCCATCACTGGGCATCTGACTGTTAAAACAGGTTACCAGGTACAATACTACAATTTAGTCCAGCATGCTTGGACTTTTAAGGTAACACGGGGATTATGGTTTTGCTCTTTGAATAAATGAAAGCTCCAAGTACAAGCTGTCTTTGGACAAATCTAGTGGTTGCTGGCTAGTGAACTAAGAATCTTGAAGAAAGTGAACTTATTTTATTTGTATATGAATTCTTAGTATTTAGAACATATAAACACATATTAACTGAATGAAAAGAAAATTTGTAACTTCCAGCATTATCTGAACTTCTGAAAAAGCATGCAAAAATTAACTTGCAAAGGAATTATATCAAGGCATCTTAATGAGAATGACTGCCAATATGAAGGAATTCAAACTTTAAGTTAATGAAAATATTTATTCAAACCTAACTGTATTACAGTACCAAGCTGAGTTAAACAAACAACTGTATGATATTTAGTTCCTTAGGAATAGGCTACTGCCACATCATAAAAATTTTTTACAACACAGATTTCTGCAGTAAGGTTCAGCAATTAAGATGTGATTTTCACACGGGGAAATGTTGTTTTGAGTAGGATAGATTTAGTTTTTTAAAGGCCCAGTACAAAAAAAAAAGATTGAGGAAAATGACGCTTTAACAGTACATACACCTGTAGGAAAAAAGCTTAATGCACTGATATTTAAACAAACAGAAAGCACTTAAGAGAACATACTTAAATATCTAGGCACAATTGGTCAGGTTCTAATTATAATTTCTGTTCTCATTTAAAGGTTTAAATCAACTCACCAACTTGACTGGCATATGTAAGTCTAATACAGAGAAGGCACCTCTCATTCTCCTTTTTGAGAGTTAACTCGTCAAACATTTTAAGGAGCACAGGGACAATGCACTATATCTAAGTACAGATATAGTTATTTAACAGCCCATTTTAGGAGAAACTACATTAAAATATAAAACTATGATTTCTCTTCTTACATCATATGATGGACATGGCTTTCTAAAAGGACACCAGGAGATGATCCTTCACATAAGCTTTAAAATAGAATACAAGATTTAAATTAAGTGTGCACTGGTCACTACTATGTAAGGAGTTCTAAGAATTAGTGCAATTCTTTAAATCCCCAGTACTTAGGGGAAAAGTATATACATCCCAAGAAATCTCAACTAGTACATAACCAAGCTTTTTATGGCTCAATAGTTTAAACACTTAAAAGTTCTGTAAAACATCTTGAAAGTTATAAACAAAAGATTAGAACACTCAAGTGGTTTACAAAATTCTCTCTTTAAAACAAAGAGACCAGAATGACCAAAAGAAGTATAAATTTCAGGAATATAATCTTTACTGCAATTATAAGAAGGGGTGGTAAAGTATTCACTGTAGAAAAAAACCCAAATTGTTATTTTCTGATTGCTTTACTACCATTTGGGGTAGTTATCATTTTAGTGGCTATGTCTTTAAATGTCTTGTTGGACAGTTACTGAAGGCAATTTATAAGGAAAAACATTATTTTCCCCCCAACAGTGAGAAACTATTCCAGATAAATAAGCCTCAGAATAAGGGATCATAAGTCAAAAAACACAGTGTAAGAGCATTGGGTTGATTTAACCTCTATTTCAATAATATTTACACAATATTTACAATATGCAATTGTCAAAGCTATACAGATTTGCAGAATGGCTTTACTTACATTTCTGCAAATTTTTTTCCCAAAATAAAAATATAACAGGAAAATCTATTTACAAACTAGGAAGCTGCTTCAGAAACAGCATGATTTAGATATAAAGTGAAATTTCAGTATGAGGAAAGTGCAGGTCATGCTTTTAGATTTTGCCAGTATCTCATTCCCCACACTCATAGTTTAAGGGATACGAGTTTTAAACAGCTACTGTTCTTATGTGTTCAGAATGTTTACTCATCATAATGCAAGGATAACAAAAATTTGTCCACATCCATTCCAGCTGGAAATGAACTGGGCAGCTTCTTTTTCTGTTAAAAAAAAAAAAAAAAAGTAAAAATAAAAAAGAAAGAAAAAAATAAACCTAAGTTAACATTGAACTCAAACAAGGCCAAAAACACTTTCTTAAATCACTGAGAACCTTTTATCGGGTTCTTCCATACACTAAAATTGTTGACAAATTTTTCCAGTTCATTAGAATTTTAGTTTTACAGAGAAGTAGAGATAAATATAATTAAATTCAACATTAATAAAATATACTTCTGATGGTTCTTCCAACATTAGTTTAGGGCAAAAGACATTATACAAATCCAGAGTATATGAATGTTGAATGAAACAAGAAAAGAACATGCTTTCTATAAGGTGCTCATTATTGCCAAACAATAAGCCTTAGAAAGCTTTACTAAGATTTTAAGAGCAACAGGTACTTTTTAAGTTCCAAACATTTCACATACACCAGGCACTTTATAAACACTACATTTAGTCCTCACAGACATCAGGTAAGATGTGTGGTAACCTTCTGCTAAATGATGCAGCTGAGACTCACAGAGGCTATGGGCTTAGTCATAGTCACAGAAGCAACGAGCAGGAGGTGCAGGATTCAAACCCAGGCTGGCATGGCAGGAAAGCCAGGACTCTTTCCCTGATGTCACATTTTAAACACCGTTCTTTCTACTCAATCCACTTACTAAATGGCTAAGCAGATTAGAAAAAAATGTGTTTCATTCATCAATGCTATCCCTGCATTGCCTTTCTACAGATAAGAATGGTCAAGGAAAAAACAGGTAAATTCAGTTTTTACACTGCTCTACACATTAACATCTATAGGAGCCCATGAAAGACATGTGAAAAAAACCAAGACATAGTTGTTAAAGTAGTTTTTTTACTTGGTAATTCCACACACAATAGTGCCTTCCCAATTTTTCATACCTTATGTCACCCAAATTTGGATTCTACCATGACAGAAACAAAAACCTCCTTTTCCCGAGGTGTTTATAATGCCTTAGCAACTGTTTTCACCTCGACAACCTCTGAGTACACACTGCTGAGACACACTGCTCTACAATGTTTATTGTCAATCAAAACTCAGTGCTGTTTTAACCATAATGTTCAGTCAGGTAGCTATGGCAAGAAATGCGGAGCTCTCTAATCTGAGTACCGAAGGGAAGGCAAAGGTAAGATTTTGAAATTAAGACTTTCAAACTTGCCTTAATTCTCTTCTTTTTCATTGGTATTGATGAATTTGAGAGATTTTTATTAGAAGTACGGGAGTTCCGCTCACGCTCATCTAATTCTTCAATTTTCCGCTTTTTTGTGGTGCTCCTCGAAGACACTCTAAACTGCTGTGTGTTGTCCTTCAGAGGCGTCGCTGACGCAGTCCTAGAGATGGCGGCTCTGGAGAGAATCATCAACGTGTGGGCAGCCATGTTCACACTATTTTCACTCCCTGCTTCACTGGCAGGGCTGCAGGCAGGCAAGTCTGGGGTGACAGGAGGGACCATCACTTTGGGTGTGCCGTCTTCAATGAGACGCCTACTAGAGGGGACCTTGATACCATCTGTAGGTTCTTCTTTATGTTTTTCCCCTGCCCCTGAGCCAGGTGTCCGGGGTACAGATAAATGAGTATTGTCCGAGAGCTTATTTACTGGGCTATGTCGCTGAACATCTTGTAACATTTCTGTGGTATGTTTGCTTAGTGGGTTAATCAAAGAACTGGCAGATTTCGTTTGTTCCTGTTTTAGATCCTTCACAGCTGCAGCTACTGAAATGAAATTTTTACTGTTTGAGGATGTGCCTTGTTTTTTGGTTAGTTCTTGCAGTGAAGCTATAGTTTTCTCATTCCTTAAACCCCCATTTTGCTGCCCATTTTTCTGCCTTTCCACATCACTGCACAGTTCATTCTCCTTATTAGCTGTTGCTTTATGGAAAGATTCAAGTCCAATTTCTGTTGGTGAAACTCTCTTTTCTGACTGAGCTTCTTTTATGATGGTATGTCGGCTAAGGGCAGTTTCTGACTTAGATGAAATCTTAGGCATAGGAGGTTTCTCCCTTTCTCTTTTGAGACCACTATTAGAAGAGGGTTTTAAGGTAGAGGACATCATGGGTGAGTCAAGATTAGGAAGTGAAATGTCACTCCTTTCTTTGCTTTGGGACACTGTCTTATGGTTTGTTCCCTGTGTATCTGCCCCAGGAGAAGCAGTGCTATCAAAACACAGCACACGTCTGTGGCTTTCCAATGGTTTGCTAGTTGGAATTATATTCTCTACTGAGAAGGGAACTGTGATTTCTTCCAGTTTTTTCCCATGATCTACTGCCATATTCTTGTCAGGAACTTCAATTCTTAAAAAAAGAAAAAAAAAGTTACTTTTAGCAACATTAGGAATCCGTTTTATTTTAAATCTGTGCATTCAAATAATCTGATAGAAACGACTTTCATGATGCTCACCTTTGTGCATGACATCCAACTAAATGACTCGATGAATCCACCAGATTATTTACCTGCTTTCCTGGAATTATACATTAATTAATTAGAAAAGAAAAACATTCCTGAGAAAGAGTATATTCCTCTGAGAGGAAATGGAACAGACCACACCACATCATACATCATGAGAAAAAATTTTAAGTGATAGCCAATGAACAAATGAAATACTTTCACATATTACACTTAAATGCAGCTTTCTAATATAAACAAGATAGTCACTTATCCATTTTACAGAGGAAATACAGAAATGCCTTGCTTCAACTTCAGGCAAATATTATGAATCCCATATTTGGATTTATGTATTACAATGCTCAATAGAGCACTTAAGAGTACTACTTAGATCCAGAAAGATGCTTAAAGCAGTACGTTATGCTTATTTAAAAAATTTGCCCATATAACTGTCATATTTGTAAGCCTGTCACTTAGGGCACATGCTCTGGAGTTTTAATAACCATATTTTGATATCATGGAGCTTATGAGAGAGCAGAAAGACATGAACTAGAAGAAAAAGCAAAGATGAGATCGTGAAGGACCTTATGTATTATGCAAAATGTTTCACAGAGAATCCTTACAAGTTTTAAATAGGAAACATGCAGGAATAGGTTTATGTTTTAGAGTCACTCTGGCAGTAGTACAGAAAATGAACCAAAGAAGAAAGAAAACTAAAAACAGGAATTCCAGATAAATACAATTAGATGGCTCTAAATATTCCAGGTAAGAGACAATGAGGATCGTAGAGACAGTAAACGGCATTCACATAGACATGAAGGGTAAAGGAGGAATCAATGACATTAACCAAGGGGGGAAAAAGTAGGCAGAGGAGGTCTTTGAGGAAGAAGAGGTAGACTTAGATATGTAGAGTTTGAAGGTCTCGAGCTATAGAAAGTTAGAGAAGGAGGAGTGTAGTATAGTGGTGGTTCCAGAAGCCATCAACAGTTGGAGGGAAGTAAAGAAAGAATGGAAAATGTCCAATGTATACGGCAATATTAGGTCACTGGTGACCTCATTTTAAACAGTTTTAATAGAAACATGAGAAAAGACAATAATATAAAGAACTGAGAGATAAGAAGGATTGGGGATAAACGGTTGGCAGGTCAGACAAATCTAAGGAACTCTACAGGCAGAGAGGGAAGAAGCCAAAAAAAAAAAAAAAAAA